CGCGAGCCATTTCGGAGCGGAAGGTGTTGAACGTGAGTTGGGGGGGGGTTCCCAGCTGTGGGGGCGTCTGTGATCGCCGTGGGGGTCTCCAGGCCGGGCTGGTCCTGGGAAGGGTTCGCTGATCGCTGAGATTGGTCCCCAGGGCAAGGGTGCGGGGGTGTCTGTGCCCGGCTGGGGGGTTCTGAGGCGGAGCGGGGTCCCTGAGGGGCCTCTCGGGCTGGGAGGGGGGCGGTTGGCTGGGGGTCCCCAGTCTGGGGCTGCTGTCAGTGCTTGGAGGGGGCTGGCAGGGGCAAGAGGGTTAGGTCCTGAAAGCATGCGAGGGTTGGGTGGCGTGGGCTGAGGATGGACAGATCCCCCCCCATGCCTGGCTCTGGCAGGGAGTGGTGGGCGGGGTGTTTGGCCCTTGAGACCGCACCTGGTTAGCAGGGGCACTGGCTCCTGCTGTGTGGAGCTGATGCCTTAGGCTGAAACGGCAGCTGGGAGCCTCCCAGCCACGGTTCGCGCTGCTCCGGGTGACTCTGCGCCCAGCACACACGTCTCTGCTCTGTCTCTGTAGAAATACTACCCGCCGGACTTCGATCCTGCGAAGATCCCAAAGCTCAAACTCCCAAAGGACCGGCAGTATGTGGTGCGGCTCATGGCCCCCTTCAACATGCGGTAAGAGGGGCTGTGCCGGTCAGAGGGAAGCAGCTGTAGAGGAGAGGAGTTTGCTTAGGAATTGTTTCACCTCCATATGCTGCAGGGGAGCTGCTGCCAGCAGCCGTAAGAGGTGACAAAGACCAGAAGAAAAGGGGCAAGGGAGAGGAAAGAGGGTGATTTGGGCGTTCTTTGAAGAGTAGATACTGAATTTCCAAAGGAAAAAATAACCATTGCTCAGAACCTGGGCTGACGTGGCCTGCAAATCACTTGGACTTTTCTTGTTCTGTTTGTTCCCTTTTTGTGATGTGTTGTGGACTGTTCTTTCTCCTTTTCTAGATGCAAGACGTGTGGTGAATACATATATAAGGGGAAGAAGTTTAACGCCCGTAAGGAGACGGTTCAGAATGAGGTGTACCTGGGACTTCCCATCTTCCGCTTCTACATCAAGTGCACGCGTTGCCTGGCAGAGATCACTTTCAAGGTGAAATATGTTCTGTATTTCCTATGCTCTTGCTTTCTGGGGAGGCTGTGCAGTCTGTGGATATGACTACGTGCTGGCCCCGTGGAGAAGGGGTGTCCCAGCAAAGACTGAGTCTGAGCGTGTGCTGTTTGGTGTAGCTTCCCTTTCCATGGCCGCTTGTTGTTCGGAAATGTCTCGCCCATCCGCGGGCTGCAGCACATCGGCGGCAGCAGAACAGAAGGCCGTGGATGATCGTCTGCTCGGTGGTGTGAATGAAATTGGGAAACGTTTGCATGCGGCTCTGGAAGTGGCCACAGGATGGCTGGAGCAGAACTGCCCCAGTACAATGGTTTTGCTGTCTTGTTTCTTCACTAGACGGATCCTGAGAACACAGACTACACCATGGAGCATGGTGCCACTCGCAACTTCCAAGCTGAGAAGCTCTTGGAGGAAGAGGAGAAAAGAATGCAGAAGGAGAGGGAAGACGAAGAGCTCAACAATCCCATGAAGGTACGAGAACGTGCCCTTCTCTGCAGAAGGCAAACCTCTCTCCTGCCCTGGCTGGGTTTCCCCAGCGAAGCAGGTGACTTCATAGCCGTTGGCTGCATTCTCCAGACTCCCGAGGTATTGCTGTGCCCTGGACGGGTGGGAGACAACTCTCTGCTCTCAGGAGGTTTCCTCCTGTGCTGGGACTTGTGACAGGCTGCATCTTGCCCTGGTTTTTCCTGTCCCGTTAAGACCCAAAAGTGAGGATGATGACGATCCTCTTAGTGCTTCCTGCCCCGTACTGGGTGGGGAGGTGGTGATGGAGATTGCTGGCAGGCTCTGCTATGTCACGTAAGCCTGACTTATCGCTGGTCACCCAGGTCCTGGAGAACCGAACCAAGGACTCCAAGCTGGAGATGGAGGTTCTGGAGAACCTGCAGGAGCTGAAGGAACTCAACCAGCGCCAGGCAAATGTGGACTTTGAGGCCATGCTGAAGCAGTACAAGGAGTACGAGGAGGAGCAGAAGCGCAAGGAGCAAGAGGAGGATGAGCAAGAGATGAAGTGAGTGGGCTGGAAGCGTTCATGGGTGTGTGAAGCCGCCACGCTGACCCTGACCAAGCAGGGCTGCGTCTTGCCCGTTCCTCAGCACCCTGAGAGCGCTCGAGAGAGGGCCCTGAGTTCAGTTGTGTGGGTGGGATGTAGTCCTGAGTGGGCTGTGAGGAGATTGGGGAGCGTTCAAGTGTTTGGGGAGGGGAGGGGAGGGAAATGCCTGTGGTGGAGGCGGTGGGGTTTTGGTATCCCTGGCCGCAAGGGCCTGACCCCACCCGAGAAGTGTCCTCGCATGGAGAGAGTTTCTGCACCTGGCTGAGGCTGCAGAACTCAGTGCCATCAACCTTCCGGCGCCGCCTGAATGTGACTTCTTAAAAAGCACCTGAGAAGGTGGATCCTGTTGCGCTGCTGCAGAATTCCAGCTCCCCTTTCAGCAAGCGGCGCCGGCACCGCTCGGCACGGCGGTGGAACGGAGCCAGCTCTAACCCTCCGCGTGCGGCCTCTCTCCTTGCAGAGCTATGCTGGAGCAGGCGCAGAACCGCCGACTGCTGGTAGACTCCGACTCCGACGAAGGGCCTGCAAAATCAC